GAGAGCGAGGGATGAGGGGATGAGGCTGTAGGGCTCAGGGCTAAAGAGAGCGAGGGATGAGGGGATGAGCTGTAGGGCGCGGGGCCAGCGAGTCAGGTCTTACTGTCGCAGGCCCCCCGTCCAGCTGCCTGCCCCCGTGGTTGGACACGATGATGCCCTGCACTCCGTGCTCCACGGCCAGCTCGGCGTCCTCCTTGGTCAGGATGCCTTTGATGATGATGGGCAGGCGGGTCAGGGACTGGAGCCAGTAGATGTCCTTCCAGCTGATGGACGGGTCCAGGGTGTTGGGAGGGACACCGTACTCCTCCAGGCCACTGTTTTCCTGCTGATATGAGCCACGGGAAGAGTGCTTTACTAAGCCCAGACCTCATGCATCTCTTTACCACATGTACTGTACACAGACATCAGCGCTTGCTTGAAACACACAGCGCTGACAGCAGCTGCTGTTATCTGTTATTTAAAAATCATCTACAATCCACCCTGTGGCAGACTTCAAGGAATGCTTAATGCTATATTCGGAAATATCACTGATCATACTCTGTGTATTCTTGCTGTCGTCTTTTGCTGGTCATGTATTTCGGTCTGTTGTATTGTTGTGTTGGATTTTTGTCCACAAAAAAAATCCCCAAGGGGAGAAATCTTAATATACCACAATATGATGGAGAGAACATGGAGAGAGTATAGAGATGTTCAATGATTTGATTGTTTTGTCAAAAGAGCGTATTCCTCAATAATAAATCCTTTTATGCATGTGACATCGGGGATACTATCACACTGAAACAGGAAAACGGAATGTTAGGATTTTAAGCTGAAAGGTACAACTAGCGGAGGTACTAGAAACACCTCATTCAGAATACCGTGTGCAAGTCTGATGGCCATGTTAAAAAACCTTGCTGCTCTCAAATCAATCCGGAGAAGAGTAAGCAGATACACCCCCAGTCTTAAAGGGACATCCTACACTGAACCTTTTCCCTTCTCGACCGGGGAGAAGACTACAACGGCACCTGTTTCATCTGTTAAAAATCCTTAAAGCTAAGCCCGTGAACTTCTCAGCAATCAGAACATGAACTACGGAACACAAGCGGAAACCAGGGGGAAGTCCATTTAAAAATGAGAAGAGTTGACACCTTCCTAGAAAGGATTACTAGTGGATAAACTCCACTAAACTGCATGTTAATCGGGAATTGAAAACAAATGAGCGTGCTTTTCCAGGTGAGGGGCCATACCTCAAACACGCCATCGAAGTTCTTGACCTTCAGGTGCGGCGGGAGCCTGAACTGGTTCCTGATGTCATTCCTCCGTTTGCCGGTGTAGGGCACGTCCACGGTGAGCACCAGCGCCTTGTAGCCCAGCGCCTCCACGCGGTGCACGATCTGCTCGGAGACCTTGCGGTTCCGGTACACGTACAGCTGAAACCAGCGGTACCCGTTAGGAGCGGCCGCCACGATCTCCTCCACGGAGCAGGTGGAGTACGTGCTGGTGATGTAGCAGGTGTTCACGGCTTCGGTGGCTGTCAAATGACGGGTGTGCAACGACACTGGCTTTAGATGGCTCGCCTTTTCCTTTTTTTATTTTCATTTTTATTTTGTTTTATGATTTAAAAAAAACGCGATTATCACACAACCATTTACGATGCTAAAAAAAAGGCATCACTGTTTTCCTCCTTTCGCCAGCGGAATTGCTTAATCTGTTTATGAGGGCTGTAAGAGTTGCGTTGCGTTTTCCAATGGAATGGGAATTTATTCACAAATGAATTGCAATTATTAGGTTTAATCTGGAAGACTTTCCTTTTCTTCGACACTAAAATCTGACACTTTTTCTGTTTGCTCAGTGTAACGACTGATCTGACTTCAAGAGCTGTCAAAGATTTAGGTCTGAATAATGTCCTATTTGTAACTAACTGTAGATGTAGAAAACTGTAACTGTAGAAAACGCTCTTCCAGTGGGAACAGAAGGAGCAATTAAAAGATCGCAGCCCAATAATAAATTATATCTCCTCACTTCTGGTGACTATCGAAAGGATTGGACTGAATCAAAACTGGCTTCTGAGCTGGAGTCATTGTTGGTGTCTAACGTGATGTTCGAAAGCAGAACACACACTTACTGTGTACAAGGATTACATCTTGAAGTCTATCTTTGAAAAGGGTGTAAAAATGGAAAGCATGAACCAAGCAATAAGCAAATACAGTTCTTGTGTTATGGTCTCTCTGTCGTGTTCCTTGAGCGATTTGAAGCTGGAAACAGAGCGTCATCTACTGGTTCGCTTTGTGAATGGCCCTTTGAAAATGCAACTCAGAAACTCGTGTCTGAGTGTGGCGGGGTCTTTGGCTGTGAAAACACACTCCACGTGCACAGTATGTCTTTCTAAAGCTCAGCCTCTGGTCTCGGGGCGGCTGCTCCTTACTCATTCCTCACAGACACCATTGCTTCTGCCCGCAGGTTTAAGTTTTGCGTTTCCACCGGGCCTGTCGAGCCGGATCTGTGGGTGTACGTGTAGGGTACCCCTTCTCTCGGCATTCGCATCCATTCTGAAGCAGGACAGGGAAAAGCCGGTAAAAGCCAGGAAAAGCTTGCGCGCCTACCTCTTGCGGTGCTCATCTCGCCATCCGGCCAGGCCAAGCAGTGGAAGGCAGTAGGCGCGATGCCGACAGGAAAACTTATCTCCGTGCCCAGAACGGTCGTCCTGGTGTCACTGACCGACACGTCCCGCAACATGCGCGGCCGCAGGCGTATTCTGAGGGAAAGAAAAGAGACCGAGCTCCCACCAGCACGGCAAGGACAGTAAAAGGCTCTTGAGACGGGGGATACATCGAGGGAGTCGTGTTTCACACACGCTGCAGGCACTGTGTTAAAGCCTGAAACGTCCCTCCTGCAAATCAAAGCTCACTCCTGCTTCCTTCCTGCACGTCAGGCTATCCAAGACCATCTCACTGCAGCCCAGCATTTGTACTAATTCATTGTATGTATTCAGCAATGTTCATCCCAGAGGATCTGAAAGCTCCCCTGTCGGGATAAAGCCAGGATAACACTTCATTATCCACCACTGCAGAGCAGCCAACACATTAACCCCTCTGTGTAGACAACCTATTTCTGTGTGCTCCTCCTGCATCTTTATTGGCTAGCTACCGACACGCATTTACTGCACTCATTTAAATTGAAGGGGTTACAAAATATTCTATCTGTACTTCAGGACACATTATATCTCGAAAGATCTTTTAAAGCAAGTCACTTGGCACTGCATGATGTTATAATGGTGTAGTTCATCCCTAAAGGAATACTGAAGTTTTGTTCTCCTGCTGCCTCGTTTCTTAACCACAGAAGCGTTACTGCTGAAGCGACGTCTCCCTTCATCCCACCCTCACAGCTCTGTGCTGAGAAGGGACGCCTCTCAGGTGCCCAACTGGCCTCTTCACACAAGCCGTGAGGAGAGCATGTAGTCGCTTTGCTTTTTTTGCTTGCCATTTGCCAGCAGCCATATCACCCTGCAGCTCACAGCTCACAGCTCCCAGCTGGCAGCCCACTGAAGCTCAGCAGTGTGAGCCTGGTCAGTACCTGGAGGGGAGACTCCTGGGAAAGCTAAGGCTGCTGCTGGAAGGGGTGTTAGTAGGGCCAGTAGGGGGCGCTCGCCCTGTGGTCTATGTGGGTCCTAATGCCCCAGTATAGTGAGGAGGACACTATACTATAAACACTATACGCTGTCCTTCAGATGAGACGTTAAACCGAGGTCCTGACTCTCTGATGTCATTAAAAATCCCAGGGTGTTTCTCGAAAAGAGTAGGGGTGATACCCCGGCCTCCTGGCCAAATTTCCCGTTGGCCCTTACCAATCATGGCCTCCTAATAACCCCCATCTCTGAACTGGCTTCATCACTCTGCTCCCCTCCCCACTGAGAGTTAGCTGCTGCTAACTGACCCACAGCTGGTCGAGCCCGGCCACGATACCTTTTGTAAGCCAGGAGGTTGTCATCCCTGGTGCAGCACTCGTCAGCTCCAGCTGCGTAGTAGTCCCAGGTGGCCTTGGGCAGGTGCTCTTTGGCGTATTCCTCGAAGTCGGTCAGACAGACCATAGGCATCTTAGTGCAGTGGCACGAGTGTCTAAACGGGCAGACAGGAGCAGACAGATGTCTTTGTTTCAGGGCCCTTCAGGGTGAGGACCGCGGAGACGTGCGACAAAACAGCAGCTGAGGACCAGCGCCCCGCATCAGCCGTCGCGCTGGACCGGACGGCGGTATCTGCACCGCTTCGCCTCGCATTGCTGCTCTCCACAACGTGTCCGCAATCAGGGGTTTTTGGAACAAGTCAAAGTCGATTCCACGCGTTTTTGATTTGAAAATTATAGAAAGAAGAAAGATCTAACGTTTTTGTCGGGTGTGTGAGAATGAAGGAGTGAGCAGGGATACATAATCCACAATTTCAACCTTTCAGGCTTCTCCTGGAGCTAGGCTAGGCTTTCCATCTCTCCTGCCCTACCCATCCTCCCGGTCGCTCGCTCTTTCGTCCCCCCATTCCCGCTCTCCACTGACTATCTCCCACACCTACCGAAGCCAAGGCCAGAATCAGACAGTCTTGTGGAGGAAGGAAAAATATAGGAGCAGCAAAAGTTTGTGGACATGTCTGCCAACAGGGTCGTCAAGTGAGCTGTTAATAGTGAGCTACTAACGGGTCGACCACGTTCAGCTGTGTCCTCAGAATAAGCCAGCTGTATTTCGTGCTGCTGCGTTGCTTTTCGCAGTTGTTAGAAGAAGGTCTTGCCTTTCGCTGCCCTTTGCACACAGGAAGGGGCAAACTCTGGGACAGCTCCTTCAGCACCCCTGCGTGAAGAGCATCAGCCAGGCAGCCCCACTGCTCAAAGCAAGAAGTGAGAAACTGCTCCATCGATTGAATAAGAGGTGGGACTTTAGATTATTTTGCCACAGGCTTGGAGAATCTAGCCAGGGCACCTGCATAAACGCCCCTGCTTTTCTGAACCATGTTGTGGGATCATTAATGACCACGTGAGAAGACTGCCACCTGCTGGCCAAACAACACCACTTGCAGCACATTTTCCTTGCAGCTCCGTGTGCTAATCCCGCCTGGCCTCTCACAGCTCCTCAGACAGGACCAGGTCGGGCTACAGAGGGGTGAGTGGTCAATGATGCCGACCTCCAGGGAGACCCACAACACCCCTTTGTTTCTTCGTGTGCATATAAAATCACACCACTGGGTGGTGCCGTGCCTCTGTGGCTCAGGATCTGCGCCTGTGGCTGGAAGGTTGCCGGTTCATATCCCGCGGGCGGCAGAGGAATCCTACTCCCCTGAGCAAGGCCCTTCACCCCAGCTGCTCCAGGGGCGCCGTATCAATGGCTGACCCTGTGCTCTGACCCCCAGCTTCACTCCCCGTCTGTGTGTCTCATGGAGAGCAAGCTGGGGTATGCAAAAAGACAAATACCTGATGCAAGGAATTGTATATGGCCAATAAAGTGATCTGATCTCTCTTATCTTAAAATTCACGGATCTGATAGATTCAGTGGCTCAGCCTGGAATCCCAGCTTGTAATCAGGCGCTCTCGAGCTAAACCTCAGCCCAGGCTGTATTGAGATTGCCTGAAGCAGAGGTGTCCCGGTCTTGGAGGGCCAATGTGCTGCTGGATTTTCATTGCGTTCTAACGCAGCTCACCGGACCAGTTTAACAGCTTCCCCAGCTCTTCACACACAGCGGCTCTTCAGGAGCAGGCCGGACAGGAACCTGGCTCGCTGTGTAAGCTGTTTCACAGCACTCGTCTGCTCTCAGGCTGTCCAGACAAACCCCGGTACTCCCCCCAGGCCTCGCTTTGTTGTAACTATTAAACCAAACCCTTACAACGTTCATCCCAGGAGACTGGAAAAACATGAAAACTACAAAACTGAGAAATTGAAGACTTTCTGATTTGAACAATAAGCCTAAAATTACATGTATTTATTTTATTGAAAATGGTAAGAGAAAAGGAAAGCATACTTACAGAGCGGAAAATACTGTCCGCTTAATTAATTAACTTCATTAGATGTAGATGGGCAGTTTGCCAACAAGAAAAATCATGCCCAGTGAGTCCACATATAATTCTAATTTTAACACTTACTGTACTTACTGTTTTCTAAAGTACATTAATAACGAAGTAATACACTTGAAGAATCTTAAGAGGCTACAATAAGTTTGCACCTTGCTTTCATTTTTAGAATGCTTCTTAAAATAGGCTACATTTAAACATCTGAAAGCAGAAACGAACTTAAGATGTGTTCAAGTTTTGAGGGTAAAAACTGCTCCACAAAAACAAGATGCAGATACAGAAAAGTTTATTATTTACCTGCCAAGGTGGACAAGACAAGCTGTGCTGCAGTCTCTCAAAAAGAAAACTAGCACCTTCTCTGTGTGCAAGGTAAGTCGAGCTTTCTGACAATCTATATTTTTACATTTTGATTAGGTTTGAACAAGAAAGGCTTTCTGCTAAAAGGGACTTTGAACCCAATTAAACATTAACTTCTGTATGGTGAAATAAGGTCTACAATCACTCCAGTTTAAGATACGATCACTGTATTGCTGTATTACCCATCTACAATTTCTTGCATCAGGAATTTGTCTTTTCTCATACCCCAGCTTGCTCTCCAGGAGACACACAGACAGGGAGAGAAGCTGGGGGTCAGAGCGCAGGGTCAGCCATTGATACAGCACCCTGGAACAGCTGGGGTGAAGAGCCTTGCTCAGGGGCCCAAGGAAGCAAGACTTCTCTGACGGCCACAGGATTTGAACCAGCAACCTTCCAGCCACAGGCGCAGATCCTTGGCCGCAGTGTCACCGCTATTATTTGTTTGTGCTTGCCCACTAATGCAGAGTATATTGTTAAAGCCTCCAAACCTTCTGACTTTCCGTCAGGTCACACAGAAAAAGCTGGCGATTAAGTGAATAATGCAACTACTAGGGGCTGATTTCCAAGTCTCCCTATAATCTTACAGCATGTTACAGATGACTTATTAAAAGATAGCTAAGCTGGAAGACCTGATTTTGTGCAGTGCCGGTCAGCACTCTGACCCCGCCGAACGGATTTACTCAGGATCAGTTAAAAAAGCAACGAGAGCCAAGGTGAGTGTCACTCACTGGTGACCCTGACCATTGTTTGTGCTGCCTGGAAATGTGCTGATGACACATTTCCAGGCCAGAGGGGCCCCTCTCTGACACAAGCCTTTTGCACAAGAGCGCTGTGATAGCGCGGAGGTGCTCCGGCAGCCAAGCAGGGAAGGCCAGCAGCTACTACACAGTGAGAAACACAGCTCGTTCTGCTAATGGCAAGACAAAGAGTTCATCTAACATTGCTCATGAGGTGTTGTTCGGCATCGGCAGGGCTAGTACTGTATATGACTGCAAGCAAAGATCAAGGCCTTATTGATCACCTTCCAATGCATGTTGTGAGTTAAAAGACCAAAAATAATATAAAAATATAAGGGCGAGTAGATAAATAACTTTTGCAATCTGCTGGTATAAATTGGAATGTATCTGCGCAGGTGTGAAACGAATGCTGTCAGAAGAGCTCAGAGTGGTAGAGTATAATGTGTAAGACGTTACTGACGTTCATGTTGCTAGAATGAACCTAAAGCAGGAGTCACAATGAACCCAACCCTCCTCCTGAAGGAGACCTATCCAGCATTTTCATAGGCTGTCATCAATTTCCAAAGACCTGCACATAACTTAACCCTAATTTGTCAAATTAAGTAATTTAGAGATCATTTGGAACAAAATGTTGAAGACGCTTCAGACATCAAGAATCAAGGAGTTCCAGTGATTGAAACAAACTCTTGATTTATCAGTTCTTTACTGTTCCTAATCTTTAGAAAAACAGATGACGCTGCCGGGTGACCTAAAGACAAATTAATTGTCCACAACTGAGTGCCCCTGGTCATTAACTCTACTTGTAATCCTAAAAAACAAAACAATCTACTGTACAGCCAATTATCACTTATTAGCAAACACTCACCTATTGCATCCTAAACTCAAGGTATTCAAGGTATTCATTATGCTCTTGTGATAGTAGATTATTCCAAAGTTGTCATTACCTGCAAAAAAATAACAATGAAGTCTTATGTCAATTTTATCCACAAATTATTATTACACAAACTACATTTAAGGTGTAAGGGATCAAAGGTGAATGCATCATCCGGGTAGGGCTGCACACTGGTGGTGGAGGGGAGTCCCCATTACCTGTGAAGCGCTTTGAGCGGAGTGTCCAGGAAAGAGCTATATAAGTGTAAGTAATTATTATTATTAAACTACATGTGATAAATCCTTACGCACATGTACTCAGACTCAGGATACAACCCACTATCATTAGAACAGTTCTGTGGATCGAGCTACCTGTTTAAACCAAAACCCAAGAAAACCATCTGTATCTCAAATAAATTTCAGTAAAGGAACTGAGAGGGGATGTAAAACTAAAAAAAAAAAACCTCTAGCTCTTGAGGACTGAACAATCACAAACGATTCACAGCCCTCTCTTGCTGGTTGCCATTGATGGCCAGTTGCTGGCCTCAAGGTTTTGTTTTGTCGTCAGACAGTTTTCCTCCCTTGACGTTGCGCCAAGCCCAGAACTGCTGCAGCTCAGACAAGCGTCTCTTCAGCCCCCGTTCTCCGCGGAACACAACCCGCTCTCTGCACCTGTCCTGCTGCCTGCTTATTTCTCTCCATTCCTGAGTGAGCCTCCCATCCGCTGCAACTACAGCGGCGGCCTGTGTTTGTTCCCCAGTCCTCCTTTTCACTGTCACTGCAGGAGCCATCCTGGGTGCGAGCACTTGGCCTCCGTACGCACTGGGTCAAAGACGGCTCTTTCGCAGCCCTGGCTGTCCCTGGCTGTTTACCCCCTCCTCTGTTGGTGTACAACTGGTGCGGTGTCAGCCCTCGACTCCCCTCCACCCGGTATTCTTCTTCTGGGGGTTCACTTCTCCACTCCAACAAATGGGAACTCTCTACCCATTCTTGTTCTACTTCCATGACAGTCCAGTTCACACCAGGCTGCTCTTTCAGGTTCCCGCAGTGTCTTCTGCTGCTCACCACAGCGTTTCAGTCTCCAGCGAGCTGGGGGTCGGTAGCTGTGCTGACACGCGTTCGCTGATTTGCGTTTCATCACCTGCCTCATGCACTTCATTCTCCACGAGTAAAGCACTCCGTGTCTGGATCCAGTGTATATATGAATCTACTTAGGCCTGCCTCATAAATGCTACACTTTTACTGCAGAGAGAGTTCTCTGTTTGATTCCCGAGAAGCTGTGCAGTCGAAACAATGTGCTCCAATAGCTCCGTGCTCGAAGGAATCTATATTGTTGTTTTGGGGACCCTTCTGGGGGTTGGGGTTGCTCAGAACTTTGCCAGCGGCCTGTCATGTCCTCATGCAGGCGAGTTGAGACCAAAGATATTAAGTATGCTATACCGTTAGATTAATCCGCTCCTTTTGTTGTAATTAGATTTTGACCGAACTGATGGAAGGACAATTTGTTCTCAATTGGCTTACCTGGTAAATTTAAAGTAAGAAAAATACTTCTGTAAGGCACCATTAATGTCAGTTCTAGGGGCTGGCTTGTCGTGGTCTATAGCCATGCAAAGCTTGGTGTTGAAAGCATTCCGAGTTGCAAATCCACTCATCGTTAGAACAATATTAATGTCCAGGTTATTAATCATCCAGTATTTTAGTGCTCTCCAAAGCATGGAAAGAGTCTCAGTCTGGGATCAACACTATTCCTTTGATGGCAGTTTTGCTTGACATTGACTCAGTCTTTTACTCAGTGATGATGTGAATGGACAAATATCTCAATGTTCATGTCTTACAAATAACCACAGATCAAGCATTGATTTACAGATTTCATGAGATACCTCACATGAATGCAGAAGGTAGTGAATACCTCACCTGACTTTTGAAAAATCTTCGTCCAAGATCTTTTCACAAAGCACAAAACAACATCACAAGCTGAATGAACTGTTCTTTATCCTGCTACTACTCAGCTTGATTGTCAGGATGCCAGTGTTTCAGCATATTTTACTATGGTGATCATTCATCATTTTTTGTTAAGATACTAACTTCCTCATCTGTGTACATCTGTTATTTTGACAGGTGATCCACAGTGTAACATTCTCCCTTCGGAATGTGTGAAATCTGAAGGTTTTTTTTATATAAAGGTGACAGCTGAAGAAGATGAAGTTTAATCCGTGCAATATTGATTTGCTGGTAACAGCATATTACAAGAAATAGTTTGCTCACAATTTAGTATTATTCACACATTTTTCTTTTATCTAACAGAGATCATGCCTACAGTATTTTAACATAAAGTCATTATCACTTTACAAGTCTGCAGGTAAACTTTATTAACACTAATCACATTTTGGTATCTCCTTATTTTTAACCAGAATTGACACTGAGTTATTAAATAGGGGCTACTTTAGGATGTCGAGAGTTTTCTCTGAAATTTACCAACTCTGTTAATCACTGAAAAAGATATTAGTTTTCAATGAAATACTGAATTGAGTATAACTGTCAATGTAGTAGATTTATTTATCTTAATTTTGAGCCTATTTGTTAACCCACCTGGAAATATTGTTTCGGCAATAATTTTCAAAGGTGAGCTATGATTGAGAAAGCACAGCAGTCTTGACTTTGTTATTAGGTCAGTATCAAAATCAATCATAGGACCACTAAGGACATGGTGGTAGGTAATGGATTCCATATTTTTAAAGGTAGAGATATTTCTTACCTTGTTATCGGTGCCTTCTAGTTCCACAATGTATTTCATTTGGACTGTGCTGCATGCCTGCAGCTTTGTTCTGCTGCTTTGGCTTTTAACTTTGCATTCTGCTTCCTTTTCTGTCTTTTGACGGGACACGCTGTTTGTCTCAACGGGTTTTCAAACAGTTACCCCTGCTGTCAGCATTTGAGGCCGGTGCCATGCTTTGTGAGTGAATTAAAAGGGTGGATACCCACTTTGTGTTTCAATTGTGAGTGGACTCCGGGGCCCCTGCTGACGAGCTGGCAGTGGCCTTGTGTGAAGCCTCACTGGGTCTGTTTTGCTCTGAAATGGGTGTACTGGCTCAGAATGGAGAGCTAACGAGCTTAGCAGAATATGCAGAATATTTGTGTTTGTTTGGTGGAGTACTTTTCATGTGAAAGGAAAGGTAATGGACTAACTTCCCCATGCAATATATAATAACCTGTCTTTATATAATACCACAGTACTTCCCTTCTTCTTTCCATATTTTTATTTTTTCCCTAAGATCTGTAATTCCCTCTCTCCCCTTGGTATTGTTCAGCATTGGGGATGATCTTTACCTCGGGCTTTGGTGTAGTAACTGCCAAACAGAAAAAAGCAAACTCTCGTCCGCATTGCTTGAATTGCTCATGCTCAGTCGCCATGCACTGAGAAACCTGATAAACCGCTGGTCACTGATTCTAGAAATAACAACAAAACCAGACAAAATGAACACATTTGCACATTTTAATCTCAATCAGCCTGTCCCGCTTCTAGCATTTTTATCATAAATCGCAGTATATCACAGGGCGAGTAATTAATCTAGGGAATCCTGTGCATTTTAATTTCTTCATGTGCACATTTTAAATATTTGTCATATCCAAATTTAACACAACTTGTCTCCATGTTCCAGACTTCTGCTCTATCTGTTGATTTCTTTAAGCAATACTGTGTACTGCACATATTATAAAGGAAATCGCTAGTTTGTGATGTTTGGCTACCATGTGCCACTTATTTAAGTACTTCAATATTTGTTTGACATACATTTGTAAAGTTTCTCTTTTATTGGTTTTACCCCCCTTCCCCTATTGCTGACAAAACACTTTAAACCTAAATATTAAATATCAGTGGTGTTCGGCATGAAGCTGCAGTAGTTGTCTATATTCACACAAACCTCTAGGGGGCACTGTATCCCAATCAGTCGTGCTAAGCTGTCACTGATTAAAGGGCATTTGTAATCCGTATGAGAGAGTGCATGAAAACAACAAGGTTTCTGAAATCATGCTACTTTGAAATTTGAGCTGACGTCATGAAATCCTCAAGCAGCCCGTTCTCCAGAGTCTTGTAAATAAAAGGCGACATTATGAGCGTTCTTCTTTCTTTAATGTTTCCTCATTGTTGAATCTGGTTCCCCCAACATACACATTCCACACCCTTCCTTGATGGCTCTAGAAAGACAGATGAGTTGGAAAGCATCATTCCATTCAAATATTCCATGAGCAAACGTAACCATTACAACGATTCACTGGTTACATGTTCCTGTTACAGAGTGACTGCATACTGTCGGACAGTTTACAGATTGTAATAACATGAGCACACAAGAAACGAGAGGAGCCATTCGGCCCATCTTGCTCATTTGGTTGTTAGAATCGAAGTGATCTGAAGGTCTCATCCGGCTGCTTCTGGGAAGAAGACGGGACTTCAGTGTCCACGACACGGCTGAGTCCCTCCTTCCAGATTCCCACAACCCTCTGTGGAAAAACGTGCCCCCTGTAGTCAGTTCTACATGACAGCACTTAGAACTGCCCCATAGCTCTTGGGTCCTGGGTTCGGTTCCAGCTGGGGGTGCCTTCTGTGTGGAGTGTGCATGTCTGTGTGAGTTTTGTCCATATGAAAGATCATAAAAGAGGAGAGCTGCCAACTGAGGTGTCCTGCCACATTCCAAAGACATGGCTGGCTAGGTAGACTGGTGACTCTAAACTCTTGTTCTTGCATGTGTGTTTGCCCTGGAGAGATGGTGTTCTATCCAGGCAGTAATCCCAGCTTGCACCCTGTACTTCTGGGTCAGGAACTGGGCTGACCCGACTCTTACGAGCAATGAGTGACTTTCTCATAACGGATTGAGCAATGGACACGTTAATCTGTTGGAAAGTAGAGTTATAGGTTTCTGGGATACAAAAGAACACAGTTTACCACAGTTTTTTAAAATACCAAAAATCCAAGATGGAAACAACAACAGACAAAGACACAGAAAAACAATTCAATGTATGCAGATGTGCTAAAACATTTCTAGTGAAAAGAGTATTGGTCTGAGATTTTAAATAAAACTTATAGTTAGTGACCTAACTAGTATCAACAAAGTATTTTAGCTTAGTTTAACTCTCAGACTCTGAAACAAAAACACTGAAGTGCAGTCGATTTCAGAATAAAAAGGCAGGAGAGCAGGAGAGATGAAAAACCCTCTGTGATGATTTAGTTTGGTGTCAATTGTACAAGCCTAAATCTGTTTCATTTAGTAGCATTTCTGCAGTACTTGCTGGGGACCACATTTTCAGCAAAAATCTGTTTCATCTGTCGGTTATACTCCCCTTAGGCAACAGGCTCCAGGAACACATGTGTGTTAGATTGCTGAATTCCAAGTTGTGTTAGTTGAGAGTTAGCTCACACTGAAAAACAAGAGTTCCATTGGCACAGGCTGAGAAAGTGGAGTCTCTCTTATTTCTGCCTTTTTGTTCTACATCAGACAAAGCCAAAACAAGGCTCCTCAATGGTCACACTACACTGCTCTGATGAAAACACTATTTTTCCCCTGTCAAATAGTATCAAGATCCATTAAATACAAAGCGTTCTGCTATTTTGATATAAAAGACCCGGTTAAAACCAAAAATATGGGAGGGGATATATCTGCAATACTTACTATTTTTATCTGTCTGTAACTTTAATATTTAGAGTTTAAATTGATCAATGATCAGCTACTTTATTTATGAATTAATGAAAATGCAAAAAGGCAAAATATCAGTGAAGTGATAAATGTGTCAGAGTCTTCAGCAGTGCAGATCAGTGCAGAATAAGCTTAATACTGAACTGCTGATCTGTGTGCAAATAGATTATCTTAAGGAACTTACTATAAAATGAGTAAAGCAAAACAGAAGGCATGAAAGAATATATAATAGGGGCCCAGCAGATAGAAACCACTCATTTTGAATCTTGTGTCAGTTTTACTGGAGTAGACTTGACAGTAAGTGTAACATGGGGTGCTCTATTTATTGCAGGAAAGCCCCTAAAACTAAACACTGTGTTGAGTACATTAAGCCTCATATACAGTATATTTATTTACCGTACAGTATGTGTTGGATATATCTAGGTTGCCTGTATTATTGTAATGACCTTACTGCCCCTCATCTAGTACTTGTACACCACAGGGGTTACTGTGTCTCAAGCAGGCTCACTCAACATCTTTTACAGTATGCCTGGAACCTGCCCATGCGACAGACACTGTAGTTAAGAAGGTAGACAGCAATGCAGCAAATATGCAGCAGAATAAAGAAGTACAGAAGGACCGCACGAGGGGTGTGAAATAGGAGTGACTTGGGTTCGGGTGTATCCTTACACAGGGCTGATGGCCTTTTCCTGTAGCATCAACCCGGGGTGCAGGCCCACCCGTGGGTGAGTCTTTGTTTTCTAAAGTGGGTTTCTATAAATCACATATGTATTTGATAAATAATGAACTGTATTCTTTATTATATTAAACTTAGTGCTTAGATATACAGTAAGTGTAGTAGGGTTTATCAATGCAGGGGTCTGATGTGATGTTTTGCTCTCTGGAAGACAATCCAACAATACTTCGCAGTCTGTAAATATTTCTGTGATTTGTGTCTTGTTTATTGTTATATTATGCATTTGTTTATTAATAGATACTTAACTTTTAAGTTATTTCCTTTATTATTTTACCAGAGTAATAAATATATATTTCCTATTTTCTTTTACCAAAATAAAAGTTTATGGTCACTAAACTCTTTACAGAACATGAAAGAAGATGCAGTATTTGACAAAACTCAGTATTCCTTGACTTGTGAGGGATATTTTATTATTTACGCTTCATGATTTGTTGTATATAATGTGTCAGGAGATACTATTATTTAACTGCTATTACAATTAACCCCTCTCCATATGCACCTGCTGTACAAAAAATGGGGACTAAGGAATTATGTTGTAACTACCTACCTTTCCTGGGTTTACCCTTGCTTTATTTGTGAATTCAATTAATAAATAACACAGCAATGGTAATCCTACTACAACAAAACTTTAGCTACTGTAATTGATTAATAGCTCAGAATTCCGTATTGAATTTTCTCATTCGAGTGAAAAAGTGAAATGGTTTTTTTTTTCAGTTCTTGCAGTAGGGCCCTGGGTGGGTTCTGTCTTAGGGATTTGTCTGTGTGGACGTTTCACAACGGGTGTAAAGATACAATAATCCCCCCTGGTGAAACGCAGTCCAAGTACAACATGGGTAAGGTGTTCATGAGAAGAGTTCAGCACTCTGGACAGCTCTCAGCACAGTACTGCCACCAGAACCACCCCACGCAGTCCACTTTCCCCAGATCTCCCACACACAGCTCCAGAGATGAGCTTCCAGGCTATTTCCAGCTCCTAGGCCCTGCTTGATTCAGCGCGCAGTAACAACGACCTCACGAAGGACAATTACATGATACTTCCCCTGAGTTGTTATTCTAGGCCCAGTTGGACACACATTGGTATTTAATCAGCAAAATTCAGCCTTCTCTTCGTGATAATAGTAATAATCTCTGCATTGTCAGTATAAACATATTCTTATACATATTATATATACAAAAGCAAAGCACGTTGCTGGTTTCAGTTGAGCTAATCTAATGGTTAAGCAGCAGTTAATTTATTAATCAGCATTATAATACATTATCAACACGGTTTATATCGTCTAAATGTTTTGAGTACGTTTGAAAGCACATTTGTGTTTTTTTCTTAGTTCCTACAGAAAAAAAAACAGCTTTTTAATAGTTCAAAAAAATTGTTGTGAAATTGTTAAAGCACCAAAAGGAAACAAAGGGCTTGGGTTTCAAGCCCTTTTAAAATCCCTAAGACACTCATAAACTAGCTGCAGAAAAGGCGCCTGT